CGTAGGCGGCTAAATAGATAGATACGCTCAAAGTCGCCGAAGCTCACTAAGAAATGCTGAGCATTGAAAAGGACACGGTCATGCTCAAATCTTCACGCACCCACATTGAAACACGAAGTGCCGTCTGCATTGACGGGTGGAGCGTCAGCACCCTCCTAAAAAAATTGGCAGATCCCATGTACAGTAGGCTTCGATGATATCCGAAGCACAATTCAGAAATTTTGATACGTCACTTTAGAGAGAGAGAGAGAGATAAAGATGCAAGGAAAGGCAGGGAGGTTAACCAGACGCACATCCGGTTTGCTACCCTGCACTGGGGAAGGGATAAAGGGAAGAAAAGAGGTTGCAGAAAGATGAGAAGGTACACACAATCACGAGCGTCATACGTCACTTTAAAATCAGCATAACGTTACCAGGTGGAAGTAAATGATGCCGCACATGACTTCCGTGTCATGATTATCGTGTTTTGATGCGTTGTTTACCTCCGTCATTCATTGACGTCACGTACACACCAAATTTGGTATATGTGGAGCTAGCAAAAGGGCCGCAAGCGCATCATGAAGGGCCCAAAATACTCAAATGTAGCGTTGATGCGTGCGCACTCAGGGCACAGCGACGCTACGTTAGCAAAACGCGAGCACTCTGAAGTCTGACGCCAGGTGCGACCAGCGTACGTTGGCGTGGCCCAATGGCAATCAGTGCGAAATGCGATATGCTGCATTTCGCGCCGATGCGTTACCCAGAGAACAGTGCGTCCCCCTTTTTTGGGACGGAGGGATGCCGGACGTGCTGAAACGCGCATGCGTCAAAGCAATGCAGAATGGCGCGCGCCTGCGAGCATATGGCAGTACCAGCGCCTGGCGTCGCAACGCCAGTGTGACGCGTTGAACTGAGCACCGGTGAGCACGCACAACATGTCACGTCGAAATGTACATATTCATATCTGGACATATACATACATACATATACATACATAATGGACATACGTATCTTGATTTTCTCGTTATGACCAGTCGAATACGTTCTTCGTACATTCATCTTATCCCTTACCAAATTTTGTATCGATACCATTATCGAAACGGCCAGGAGAGATAAAAGTCGTAGGCGGCTAGATAGATAGATGAATAGATGAATACGCTCAAAGTCGCCGAAGTTCGATACGAAAAGATTAGCATTTAAAAAGCGGCCGAAACTGTCAATTCTACCCAGACGCATTCGCCCATTGACGGTGATGCGACGCAGCAGGCTGCTCTTTGTTTTTTATTCAGCAGCCGTGCCACAGCCGATAGGCATCTCGGTGGAGCTATCGTGTTTTCAGCGATGTCACGAAGATGGTCCAACGAGCGTGCGTCGCCACATCGTCACGGTGCGTCGGCGCGCACTCTCGGCTCCCACGCGTATTTCTCCCCACGGAGAGAAGGGGGTAGACGCGCATTCGCGCTCGGGTATTTCGCGGTAGTGAGGATCGTACGTCTTGGCTGGCATTTGGGCTTTTACCGAAATGAATATGTTGTAGTTACCAGGCGCACAAAGGTCACTATAATCGTCGCACAGTTTCCGTTTGTAAAAAATGGCACCATATCCACGGAGTGAATGATGGATAGTGGGGCGAAGCATCTGTCCGTTCATTAGTTCTTGCTTCCTTCCATCCATGCGTGCATCTGTGTGGCCGCCCGTGCGTCCATCCGCCCGTCCGTGCGGGCTTCTGTTCGTGCGTCCGCACTTTCATCTGTGTGTCCGTCCCTGCTTTCGTTCATGCATCCACTCCAGCGTCCGTCCATGCGTCCATCCGTCCTTGCAGCCATCCATGCGACCGTCTATGCATCTGTCTGTGTGTCTGTTCGTCCACCTATTTAACACTTCAAGTACCACCATCTCGCATCTTTTCATCATATATTCCTGATATAGAAGCACCGCCACCCAGCGGACATCCCAAGGACTGAACGAGAGAAGACACACGCACACTTTCTTACGGCTTGCGCTTTGTGTCTTTTTTCCACGTTTAACCACCTCGAGTTCATGGTATATACTAGTTCATTGTGCTCATGGCACTGCGGCCCAACGCTCGCTAAACCTTTCTAAAACCTAGGAGGTTACGCTCAGCGAGTATAACGTAGCAACCCTTTCTTGTCTTCTGTGCGTTGTTGAACAATAAAGAATTCCCAGCGTGCGCGTTAACAAAAAGCTGAATTCTCTTGTCTGTCATTCCCCCTTAGCAGCCATTGGCATTTACATTGAGCACTATCTTTTATTGTTCAACAACGCACAGAAGAAATCTCTCACCGGCACCACCTTGGAGGTCCAAATGCTATACTAGTTAAACACTACTACAACGGCTACGAGGAATGAACGGGCGCCGCTATAAGGAGCTTCGCCCCTAAAAGGACGCGCTTTTCAGACACGGCGAAGTAACAGCTGAGACGCGTATTCGCATTCACCCGTTCTTTTGAGTACGTTTCGTGCGTCATTTGTGCATTTGTGCGTCATTTGCGTTTTGATGTGATTGCTATTCTGCGTTTGATCTTCCAATGAGTTGCTATCGCGTTCATTGGTTCGCCTTGGGGCAAAGCTGTGACTTCTTGATTCTCTTGCATATGACCAGTCTATAATGTCTGTGAAATGCTGAATCGCTGCAAGTAATGATCAACTTGGCTTTAAAAATAGCAGCGTAGTTTCTGTTGAGGCTTTCACTAGAAATATTAACATTCCACTTCAAACGGACTCTTGTAGCATTGAAAGGGAGCCTATCTATGCAGCAGTCCGGCGTCTGCACCAACTCTAGGGTGGCGCCTGTTAGGAGCAATATTTTTAAATATTGTTGATAGGCTTTTATACGGCTTCTACACGTTGTATTTTACGTTATTTGTTTGCTGGAAGGATGTGCATCATTTCACCGTAATTATCTTCTAACTATAGTTAAGAAACAGCTGTTTAGGCTGAATTTCACTGGTGACTACCAAATCATAAATGAATGAAGTTTCTTGACTTCCACTTGTTTTGGCAACGTGACTATGTTTGCTGGTGTTTCTACCTTCGTCCTGCTAGTTACTCTTCCGGTTATTTTAAGATGACTCAAAATGCCACTGCTAGAAAGTCTTTACAGTCTGCCCTCATGAAGTCTTGCATACACAAAAGTAACGACACCTTTCTGAAGCAGGTTTATCGACTGGAAACTCTGAGTTTTATGCGCTTGTACTTGTGAGTGCGTGTGCAAGACTTATGAAGAAATGTAAATTCCGCCTGGTTTAAACTGCTGAACGAGGTGATAAATTCTGGATATACACTATCATGCCTTATACGCACACCGGCTATTCATTATGCAGATTAACAACATATATCTAAAAGGTTTGACCACGACATGGTCGTCGATACTCGCTACGTCTGAGAATCGAGCAGTTCGAACGGGTCTTCTGGACCTGGGCAGCACGTTTGTTATTAAATGCATTAAACTATCGCCAATACAGCCACATCTGGCTGCAGCGCTGTAAATTTGGATGATCCTCAGACCACGGGCAGAACAAGGTGCCCCAAATAATGGACACAATTGAACGATGTGGTGCGTACATATACGATCACTCTTTTGGCGTTTCATAAGACATGGTTTCAGAAAAACAGTTCTGATTGAGACACGAGGTACTCCCACGTTCGAATTGTCGGCCAATTTCAGAATCACGGAGACTGGGGCTTTTGTACAGCTCCAATGCCAGATGACTAATAGATTTCCGCATTTCCCTGGAAATGGAAAGCGCACTGATACTAAGGAATAGTTACTAATAATTTTACAATACTTTCAGTATCTCGGCATTCGTTTACTTTTGAAAGCGGTACCTGATAAAATCTGAATTAACCAGCTGTTACTGTGGAAACATTATAAAACAGTGATCGTGTGGTATGAAGCCTAAAGCAGAATAACAAATTTGGGTTGGCTTTACCTTCAATTGGGCTTAGGCGGATGCCTAAGTCATCCGGCAAGTTTCTTGTTTTGTGACCTTTCTTGCACCCCTGTAACGCAGCGAAGTTCTTTCTATTAACTTATTGTTCTAAAAAAACACTGACAGATTTCTGATCTCACCGCCTTGCTCGTCATTTAGGCTTCTTCATTTACGCGTTTATAGTCTTGTTTCAGTCAACGCAATCCATGTTATTTCTTGGCTGGATGGGTGCATGAAAAACGAGGACATAGGAGTAACAGATGGGACAAAGTACTGTTTTTGTCTTCTCTGTCTATTCTTTCCTGTTTCGGGCTATTTTGCAGTCATAAAGCCTTGTCATTGAGCGGAGTGTCATGCCCAATTTTTTCCCTATTACGCGAAAATTATGCAGGACTCGTGTCTCTTTCAGTGGCGGCTGCCATTTTCTTCCTTTTCGATTCCTGCATTTAACCTAAATATAACAGTGTGTCTATGCGATGTAATAATGAAACTAACAGCTCTCTATTCAAAGCACGTACTCAAATCATTCACGTAATAGTCAAGAAAAAAAACGGTTGTTTTTGGCTTGCGGAAAATAATACTAAGAAAAATACTACTTTCTAGGTCCACTGCATGGACCTAGGGAATTAGTAACTCTAAGTATTTGCATTCCGTCAACAGGAGCAATAAACGATGCAACAATAGTATTCTTATTGAGTCCTGCATTTTATCATAATAAACAATGTTCTCTCCAACACGCATGTTATCTCACCTTTGTCTGTGTACTTCCTTTCTTTAAACTTTAAATGCCACACACTTTTTGAATGCATGCCTCTATTTTCTTTCGCTTCTGTAAAACTGTGAATTGATGGACGTAAGCTTGTTATCAATTGCATGAATATTTCTGATACCAGCGATATATAATAACCGGTGTGGACAAGGCTTACCCCTAGAAAAAGTTTTTTTTTTACTAAAGTTGCTAATACATTTTCACTGCGAACTTTGCTCAATGTCCTTTTGCTTTTACGATTGAGGGTTAATCTAGTAGTTATTTTTTTGTGCGAAAGATAAGTAAGTTATACAAAAATGTTAACCAATGTTGATTCCTTTATTTTTCAATATCAACGCTTGCTCATTCGATGCATACATCTCCCCGACATGTTGGCGGTACCAGTTCCCCAGTCATGGGCTACGCACTGGCATCCTTCTGGGCAGCCATGAGGGTTGTTGTTTCTATCGTAGTAGCACTATGAGAATAAAAAATAAATCAATAATAATATTAGAATGTGTCAAATGAACTCCTATAAATAAGCTGTTACTTCTGTGAGTCTCCTAAACTCCCTAAATATTCAATAGGCCAACGATTGAATTCCTGCAAACACATTTAAGCAACACGCCCAATTAAAAGACACAGTTTTCAGCAACATGTAGAAATATAATTCACCAATTCAATACGTGATATAACTTTTAAAATATAGTAGCTTTCATAAGACTTTATATGCATTTCGCGATTCCCGCGTATAAAGAGTAGCATGTAGGCGTCTAACATACTCCAGCAGAAAATCTCTGTATTTCAATAATGAGCTTTCTCTTTCCCTCTCTCTATTGAACCGCCAAATCTCATAGTCGTTTTGTTTTATTTAGCAGTACTTTCAGCCCACCTTTCGGTTCAATATTTGTAATAATAAATACGCCCACGGAATAAAAAAATCCATGCCTCATTGCATGCTTATTACAACAGCAATGATCCATGTATACAACTAATTGTGACATTGTATTTTACTTTACAATATTTCAAGTTGTGATGATGGCAATTGTTTTTCAGAATTTCAGAAGCAATCCAGTAACAAACTATATGCAGTAAACACTTCACAGGTCATAGTAAATAAAACAAAATGCTTCCAAGAGCCACTCGTAAAACTGATTTATTAATTTATTCAGAGAGAAAATATTTGTCTTTAATACCATCTACAACAATTTGGATGGGACTATGGGAGATTACAGTGGTTTCAGTTTGCTTTCTGAGAACAAATTCTTCCACTGTCCTTGAACGTCCCTGACACAGCGCAACGACAACGCGGGCAAAATGCAAATAACTACAGACCGTAGTGCGGACTCGACTATGAATGCTTATTAAAAGGAAATCAAAAAGAAAAGAAAACGAACTACTACGCCCCTCACACCCATGGGGCCTCGTTAAAGCAAACATTCATGACACGCATATTCCTATATAATCAATGTTAAAAATCCAGTTGCAAGTCAGCGCCGTGGTCTGTCATTTTCCCGTCGTTCACGTAGTCATTGAGTTTTGTCAAAAATGTCTAAGTATGGTCACCAACTAGCCTAGCTTCAAGCTCTTAGAAATGAAATTTTTCGTTGTACGAGACTTTCAAAGTTTTCAAATCACTCACCAGCTGATTGCAAACCACTGCACTGCATGTAAACCGGTCATTTCTGAAACGATGGTTATATGATCAGGCCTTAGAGAAGATGCGTGCACTAAAAAAATGGTGCTTACAACTTCTGTAAATGGATCCTTTCTTAAAGTTCGCATCAAGCATTGGCTGAGTGCCACGGGCTTTGGACAAAAGCATACGAATCAATGTTTGATTACACCGTAAAACCCGTGTCAGTAGAGCTTTCGTAGTGAGCTAGATAATATATTTCTACAGAACGAAGCCTATAGATAAAAGCCTCTAGATTTATTCGTCGAAAGCTGGCTGCTGCATAAAGTATTGAAGACGAGGACGAGGAAGGGTGTGCATTGCTCGCATATGCGTGCACAAAAGGACATCTCTTTCGTGCCACGTAAACATTGATGAAAGTTAACGTTAGGTTATTCCGTGCGGTTTGTTTGAAAGGGCAAAGAAGGTAATGCAAAAAAGTGAACGTAAAAGTCTGTTTTTTGAAACCCTAGCAAAACAATTTTCGTAATCAAGAAGCAGAATTCAAGCTAAAAAATGAAAAAAAGAAAAGAATACTGGTTCTGTTCGAGTTCAACACGCTAATCTATTTCCGGTTGAAACCTTGCACAGATAGATAAAGTTGCACGAGTCTGCACATCGGTCCACAAAACAAATGGAATACACAGTGTCTGAAGTACACAAAACGAATTAGATAAAAGCGAGGACGTGCGCGTACCAACGAGCGGCCTCAACACTCTTTTCAGTCGCTAGAAATGTTCGAGAACCCCTTATGATGGCTAAACGTTAGCTTGGTATATGGAGGCATACTGCAAATTATAGCAAATGAGAAAAGAGATTTTTTACACATTGCAGTCAGGGCCTCTTGCAGTTGTATAAATACCAGATGTGGCAGCTAACTTTGACTAAAGTTTTAAAGAAATTCATGTGCTATAGGAGAAATCAACCAGTTCTACATTGAAGGTTGTCGTGTGTACGTAAGCTCTGAGATTTCTTAGAGACTAAGCGCAAAATATTTTTTATTTTTAGTGAGCCACTTTTTAATTTTTTCCTTCAATCAGTAAAATACAAGGTTTGTGCATTCTTTGCCTCAAGTAACCCCAAAATGAAGCATTTATTTTTGTTGAAATCTCCACAAGCGTGCGAAACACGCAAAATACTATATAGACAGGCAACCCACGCACTGCCACTCTAGTGCTTCGAACCATTTTTTTAATTATACGTAGGTGCGTTCGTACATTTTAAAGGGCATTATGGTATTTTTTGAATGCGCATAAAAATAATTCTGGTATCTTTAAGCTTCACTTTCAAGTGTTGAACGGGATAGCAATAGCCTATCCCAACTGCGTTCTTCAATTAAATAGTGCATACATTTGATTGTATGACGTTACTCGATAAGCTTAAATTCTGTATTATAACAATGTAATCGATAAACGTGAAAGCGGCTTATTTCAGTAAATCTTTCGCACCTGTCTGAATTAGGTGTAACGGGGAGGACGCTGGAAACCACAAGCAAACAGGTGCGCAAAATCTTTTCCTTCTATCTATGCACACACTGCGTGGTCTTAAGGAAACTGCGCAGTAACTTGTAGGCCTTTTCTGAAGTGTGGCCGCCTTTAAACAGTGAGTTCGTTATGATAATCACATGATCTGACGTCAGATGAGGAAGTACGCTTGATATGCGATTTTTGATATATCCAAACCACCATATAATTATGAGAGAGGCCATAGTGTAGGGATCCGAAAGTATAGACCACCTGGGCTTGTTTAACGTGCACCCAAATCTGAGAAAACGGGTTTACAGCATTTCCGCCTCAATCGGAAATGCAGCTGCCGCTATCGGGATTCTATCCCGCGACCTGCGGGTCAGCAGCCGAGTACCTTATCCACTAGACCACCACCCCGGTGGGATTGATGTAAGCTTGTATTATGAAGACTATAGACAGAGCACGCGTGTTTGTAGAACTTGATCGTTGTTTTCTTTGGGTTTGCATGCAGAGGAAATTATGTTAACAATATTTCTATATAGAAGCGTGGTTCTATCACACGAGACCGTCATAAACAGTATGGCGAGATTTAACGGCGATCCAGGTGCAAGACCTGCAAAAATGTACTTCCGAGAGTGCATGCCACAATTTGTTACAGAAGTCTGCACACTTAGTGGCTGTCTAGGGTCCATCATGGGATGGTGGATTTCACAATCCACCATTTCGGTGGATTATGTTGCTGGAAAAATTGGCGGCACTTGGTGTATGGTGTCATATGGTGTATGGTGGAGTGCCGGTAATGCTGGAGTCAGAAACGGTGTCAGAACCACCGTGACGAGCTACTACTAAAAAAATTAAAAATTGTATATGAAGCAGTGTTGCGAAGTGACCACTCCAGAATTTGAATGATTCGGGAATCATTCCACATTTTTGCGATCCCGGAATGGAATGAAAACTACACTTGGTGGAATGGAATTAAGCACATTTTGCCCGCACTGGAATATAAATAGAATTACGTCTTTTTTTCGGAAATAAAGCATGTTTTCATCTAAGTACTTTTTTAAACTTCAAACATTAGTAAATCAGAGCCTTGCATTTAACACTAAAACAACATTATTAAAATGGCTTGGCTGATTACTAGCATCATACATTTATAAGCAACGCGTTTGCTACAACTTTGCTCTGATATCAACTTTTCTCCTTTGATGTTTGTCACTGTTTTTCGCGTAACCGTGGTCGAGTGGAGCCACGGTGGCAGCGTAACCCCCTTTACGCCTTGTGATTTTATTTCCCTCGGTGGCACCCCAGCCACAGTTCCCACCTGCTTCCTGTCTCCCCACCCTTGACTTCTTTGTGCTAGCTTCTGTCGCCGTTGGTGACGTGGGTGCATATCTAAAAAAAAGCTTCTCAAAGTTGCGATGCTTGTTAACGCTGGCGCGATACTTTTGTTTACTGCAAGCTTTCGTATATCAGCCTGCGCACCGTCCCACCTCGTCCTCCCGCTCACCTTTCAAAATGCTGTCCCCCCTTTAAAGACATGGGTGTCTTCACCCGAAAGTCTGTCAGTGAAGGTGTGGTGAGCGCAGCTCACAGTCGTTACACGATAATTGATTCCGAAACCTACCTGAAGCAGGAAAGCCTACGTAACCACGGCCATTACGGTGCATTGCCAAGAACTGACGCGGCGATTTTTGCCAAGGAAAACCCTCGTTCTCTCTGTTCTAGGATGCGGAGGAAGGCCCGGATCGCACCGCCATCGCTACAGCACCTGTTGGTGGCTAGAGAAGCAATATCATAATGCACTATCACACAGGCTCCTGCGTCCAGCGGTTGAAGCTTAAGCAGCTCATATTTGTGAAGTGGAACACATAGGTAGAGGAGAATTGTCTTCTCTCGCATTGTTTTTTGTTTAACCAAGCGTTCAAAGATCTGTATGGTCACAATCCGGGTTTTAAAATCACCATTTAGCTCCTAACATTTCGGTGCCAAATTACATTTATTAGAACAAAATAAAGCTTCTTTTTGCCCCTTATGCTGCTTGCGATCTTTATTGCAGCAATTAAAAATCATGAGCTCAGTGAAGCACTTTTTATGACGTCAAGCTAGTGACCAAATGCCGAACGTGTGTGGAGATCAGGCGTTCGGGAGATGAAGGTCAGGATATCAGACGTTCCTGAATCTCCAGCTGAGAGCTGGTCATCCCGCACACCCAGTGCTCCGGGGTGGGGGGATCATTTCGTTATTATTGGTATATTTTTTTTCCTAACTTTGTTGGGTTCGTACGGCTCGCAGATATCCACGTTCGCATCACCAAGCAAAGAGGACATTGGGACGGTACGCATTTTTTCCCTACACCCTTATTGGCTACTCCTGCTCAAATTAGTTATGTAAGCCTGAATACATGCTCGATCAAGGCATCAACGCATTCTCTAAGTCTACGTTTAGTCAGCCAATGCCAAGGGTAGGCGTCGTGCAAAAGTGAACAATCTGTCAGTCAATTTGTAGAGGAGAAACATTGCAATAAGCTATAGCGTAGCGTACAAAACACAGGCAATATCCCAATGGATGTTGAAGGGCAAGACAAATGATTACTGCAAGTTGGTTCTCATTGAAACCCCCACATGGAAGGGGCGAATACTGTATGCACGGCCTGATCTATATCTCACGAGCGGTTGAGTACTCAACACACGTAAGTAATATTTGCGACAAAGATGACATTGCAAACTTGATAATGTTTAGGTACTGTGTCTAAAAACGTTGATACCTGCGCAGAGGTGAACACAAAAAGTTCTCATCATCCCATCCATGGTTGCGAAGCGCGCTTGAAAATCATGCGGGCTAATGAGCAGTGCGGCGCTGTGTTCCGTATTCGATTAGGAAGCCTTGATGTGCATGCGTCTCCGTGTTTTAGGGTGGTGTCAGCCTTTGACCCACCACTTGCCGCCACCCGCTAAAACACAATGTTGGCAGTCCCGGTTTTCGTGGCAACAGGCGCCATGTTGGTTCTTGCGGCCAGGCGTTTCTGCTCCGTCGCACTGCACCAGCTGCATGTTCGCGCGGGGGTGCAAGCTGCGGTATGAGCTGCGTTTGATTACCCCATAGACGTAGCTTCCACTACGACACCATCCTCGTGATGACCACACATAAAATAACCTTGAAGTCTATGCCAGAATGATGCGTGCCACAATGCAAAACCATCTGGAGACCTTCCCACTTCCCGACTTGCTCTAGCCAACGGAAACGCTGTGCTACACAAGTGAAGTGAGACTGCTTGGAGGCGACTGCTTCTCGCCGTGTTTGTAAGGTTAGTACCCTTTGTATTGCGAGTGGGTTGAGTATATCACCGCACATTTCGTGAAATGGCTGACTTAGCCATGCAACGAAAAGCAGTTTGAGCAAAGTATAGCACGACAACGTGCACAGTATAATAATAAATTACGCTTCGTTTGGCTGCGCTGTGCGAGCGGAAGATGGTTGAGTATACTTGTTTATCCTTGTAGTCGTATCGCAGTTCCTCAATCGAATGATATGACTAGTCGTATGT